AGAATACTGACCCCTTTACCCAAGACTATCCCGGCTTCTTCAGCCTAACCTGATGATGCAGACGTAAAACAGCCAACATGCTACATCCTGGCTTGCTAGGATTATGGTTTGTTCCTTCCTTTCTAAGCACCTAATAAAGTCAATTTTGCAATCTGTGTCTTCGGATGGTATGTCTACAGGGGGGCTGTTTGTCAATGTAGAGGTAGCCCTTGGCGTACAACAATTCATTTAGCGACTGTTCAAAGTTATAAAAGCATTGGAAAAAGGGCCTTATGAGTTTTTTAACATTTACGACTGTTGCAATGTTCACTTAAAATTCATCCGTCACCCAGCTGGCTTTCATATCTAAGGCGGGACTAGACCTCACCATTTCCTGGGGATTGGCCCAAAGTCACCCAGGTGGTTTCATGGCTAAGGCAGGACTAGAACTCACCATCTCCTGGGGATTGGCCCAAAGGAACCCAGCCGGCTTTCATGCCTAAGGTTGTTGTTTAATGTCTGACAGACAAAGATTTGTAGTTCCTTGATTGAGGTAATGTTTCCTGCTTGATAGTTGGTAAACAACAACCTAACCCAGGAGCCACCAAGGCTACCCCAACCAATGCTAACAGGGCAACCCACTTGTATATTAACTGAGAGAAAATGCCACTCCTTCTAGCACTGATGAGGTTACCTAGTTGGGTCATGAAACATCTGCAGGAAAGTCATCAAGCTCAGAGAGCACCAAGGACTCCACAGTTGTCCTCCTCCTTCTCCTCCTCTCCACAAACCCCATTCTCTAAACCCCACTTCCTTCAACACTGCTGATATTGTCTAGCTGGGTCATGAAACGTCTGCAGCAAAAACACCAAGTTCAAGAGACTAACAAGGACTCTACAGTTCTCCTTCCTCTTCCTCCTTCCCCTCCTCCTCCTCCCTCCTCTCCTCTCCTCCTCCTCCCCTCCACAAACCCCACTCCCTTCAGAACTGATGCTATTACCTAGTTGGGCCATGAAACGTCTGCAGCAAATACACCAAGTTCAAGCGACCAACAAGGACTCTACAGTTCTCCTTCCTCTCCCTCTTCTCTCTCTTCTTCCTCCCTCCTCTCCTCCTCCTCCCCTCCACAAACCCCACTCCCTTCAGCACTGATGATATTACCTCGTTGGGTCATGAAACATCTGCAACAAAGCCACTAAGCTCAGAGACCACCTAGGACCATACAGAAACAAAAATTCTCTCTGCTCGCAAATGCTGGACAATTTCTCTACTTGGCAGTTAAACTGCCAGCAAAGTTCAAGCAAACTCCACCAGAACAAAATCAAAATCTGGCGCAGGAATGACTTTTTCCCAGAATCCCCCTTCCCATTAAATATTGTGCTCCACTGGTGGTCAAGACCTTCTCCTATGGGGGGAGGGGGGGGAGGATGGCCCCTTTATGATTTGTGGACTTCAACTCCCAGAATTCCTGAGCCAGCATGGCCCCTTTAAGAACCTGTGGACTTCAACTCCCAGAATTCCTGAGCCAGCAGGCCCCCC